CAGTGGCCGATCGGATGAGGTCGTGCCAGTGAAGGCAGTGCATGAAGAGGAACTCAAGCAATCTTTGTTTGCTATGGGGATAATTCCTCCGAATGCTTCTTATGCCGACTATCCCAAGTCACTTCCCTTCCTTGGTCCCCACTTTATTACGCCCTGTATGCATGACCTTCCGAAGTTGAACTTATCTGAAATTGTTCATGTTTATCATAGTGGGCGCTCCGATGAATGTGTTGAGAGACCGACGGCTGAGGTATCTTCAGGGAGGTTGCGTGAGGTTCCTTCAGCAGTTGCTGGTGGTTACGGGATTGCAAATGGTCTGCTACTGGAGAGCTCTGAAGAGCCATTATCCACCATCAGGCGTACGTCAGACGTTGAGAAGGTCCCATTGCAACATTATGTTAACGTGTATGGAAGTGGAATTGTTGAAGGAGTGATGCCTGCGGCATTGCCTCCTAAAATGGAGGTGCTTGCAGTCCAACCTGCTAAAGTACAAATAGAGGCGCGCTCACCATCTTCAGAGATTGTCAGTAAGGTGACTGACGTCTCATCTATTGAAGTCAAACCTCATGTCTTAGCTCGTGAAAGACCACCAGAAATTCCAAAACGTGGATTGATAAAGAAGCCTCTTCCACCAGTAAGACAGTTTTACTCGTATGATGTGAAGGAAACACGCACTCAGAAGCCGAAGGCACCGCAACCACCACAGCCATGTCGAGAGATCGTTGAAGCTGCTGCACTGGCGCGGCAAAAGAGGCTAGAAAAAGAACGTCATCAAGTCGACCTCGATGTCTCCATTAATGCGAAGGAGCCGCTTCAGCGGCCGAGCGCTCGGCCTCCAATCATTGCCACCCGCGTCGAGCGAGATCAGGTAAGAAAGGAAGCTGTTGCACCCCGTGAACGAACATCGGTGCTGGGCAGTGGAGCACCAAGCCGTCTCTCGGACTACTATGCGAAAACGCGTGAAGTAGATTACTGGATTGGACGTCACACAGAACGATATTCACGGCCACCGCGCGACTTGACGGCTGATATTGGCATTGATGTAGCATCTGATGAACACTGGGAAGAAAAGCAGCTGGGAGGTGCCAGACGCGCAACATCACTCCAGCCTGAAAGCATATATGCACGATCAACACGTCGTGATATACCAGCCCGTGGTATGCAAATTTCGACAAGAAGTGTTTCACCAACTGCACACTTACATTGGACAACTGTGAGTGAAACAACTTCCGTCTCTTACTCGAAGAAGGTTTCAATTGAGCGTCGACGTCCACGTCCCAGACAATCGTTTGAGATACCATCTGTCCGTAGGCAATATCGACCGCCACCACCGCCTCCTGAAGTTGCTATTTACGGTCGATCGGGCTGGACCACGTTCGATTCCGATTATTCACGACCTTATTCTGGAGTCGCTGCAATCCGAGGTGAATCCAGGCAATCACGCTATTCGACTTATGCTCGATACGGAGAAACTTCCGGTTTGGGAATGACTGGTATACAGCAACCAACAGCTCACTATGTTAGCAACGAAACAAGAGTAAGTAATCTGTTTATATGGATGTGATTGCGAAGCATCACCTAAGACACAAATGTCCTATCCGTCCTATATCAATCGCTTGATAAAATGTTCGCATTTGTTCTAAAACTAGGTGATGCAGAAAACGTAGATTCGAATTTTTTTATTCTAGCAGAGTAACAATCACTACGCAATTCCAGGCTTACCGAAATCCCTTACGGTATGATCTGCCAAGTCCTGTTTCACCACCGCGTTATGAGCACTGGGCTGCTCAACCCAACAGTTGGACGGTTGAAGGTTCACCAAGGAGATTTCACAACGGACGTCGTGATGAAACGTCTTATTACGGATCTGGTTATCCACACACTAGAGGTTGTTTTTTGCTTGCTGACTTTTCATATTCTTTGGGGGATGGAAATGGATGATGTTCATAAATGACTTTTATTATTTCTTCTACAGAGGTTCAATATACAGATCCAACAATAGTAACCATCAGCATTTCAATGTATGGATACAATTTACTTCACATTATCGCGATAGTAATATTCGCTTGCAAGTGCTATTTACATCACATAATCACATTGCTCAAATAGTCGAGAGGGAGAAATGTGGTGTGATTTTTGTAAGCTCTATGATAGCCGATGGTTTAGGGCTTCAGCACATTCATTTCAGGAAGACAATCACAAATAACCTGGTCAGAATTTAATCATTGTCATCTCCACATAGAGCAACGATGGGGTAGAGTAGTATTGACTGTGGCAGAACGAATTTCAGTTTTAAAAAATGTTGGTTTTCCGGTAACTGCCGAAGTTCAGAGCTGCGGAAATCAATTTCATTGGAATCTCGTCGAAGCAATTTTTTGTTGGGTTACCACTACTACTGCGCGTGTGCTCATGTCCAGTGAACAGATATAAAGCGCAAATGAGAAGTGTAGCAACCATTGAGCTTCTATTCGTTCACATAAACAATTTAACTACCTGGATATGACTACATATATCGTCCGAATTTTTAGTTTTCATTCATTCCATTACCGATACGAGTGCTGTCAAGTTTGGTTGGTTGCTTATAGTTCAGGCCCCTTGGCTGATTTAGTTTCCCTTTGGAATTAAGTTTGGATGATATTTCAGCCGATTATCGCGTCAGCCATACCGGTCCAGAATTCTTACATTATCAGAATTCAAACTTGGAAGAAATCCCGATTGTTTCTTTGATGAACGAATTTCCGATGATTGAAGAAGGAGCAACCGAGTGCTTGTTTCCAACTGTGCAACCTATTCGCACGCATGGTATTTCACTCAAGACATTCCTTTAAGTTATTCATCGCAACTAAGAGTCATGCCTACAAAATCTTATCAAAGAACGTTTAATTAAACAGATTAAAGCTGTTAGCATCACCGTTTCAGTGCTATCTCATTCTTCATTATATTTATTACAGTTGGTTCCTAGCCTATTGGATTCTTACTATTCAGATTACATTGAGATCTTGCATATTACAGATCTTCCACCAGGCGAACATGCCCGCTCGTCTCGTTCGGCACCACTTCGACGTGCCCGCCAGCGTATTCGTAACTATTGCACCATGCTATGAGGTTTTCTTCCGATCAACGCCCAACAACTTATCTGACCCCATCGATTTCGATTTTAGAATTATGTTTTGTGATAATCGAATATGGCGAATTTCTGGTCATTTTTGAGCAAATTTGGCTACTAAAGTTTTTTTTGGGTTACCACCGAAATGATTGGGTGACGAAAACAACAGAAGATCATTGAAATTCCAAACAATTGCTTTTGATATTGTAAGGCCTTCAAAGTTTAACTATGCAACATCCCACAGAAGGAACTTTGCAATGAGAGAAGTTTTTTAGCACCGAAAAATACTTTTATGCTAGAATTTGCTCTGATCTTATGGAAATTTGCTATTTGGTAGAAACTGATAGACATTGTAATATCACGCGAACTGTTTGCTGTGACTCGAACCAAAATTGGTCGTTAGACTACTTGTGTAAAAATCATCCAGTCCAGCGGCAACAAATGTAAAGCACGTTACACTTACTGATTATCCTCGTGGCAATACTGCTGAAAACAAATTGAATTTTAACCGATATGTTAATTTCACTCCAAATGTTTTACATGATTTAGCGCAGTAAAATGTATATATGTAGAATATCAGAGAGTGTTAACACTCGTTTTATGGTTGTTGCTGTTGGTGCCTGCATTTCCGCTTGAAAAAATGCCCACTGACATATTCTCCTACAATCTCTTTCTATTGGAATATCTTCATTTGTCTCGCTTTGCTTATTGAAATCATTTATCTGATTGTACGGTATTCTATTCACTCAGTATCAATTCCTATCAGTGTTTTTCTTTGCATCATTCGAATTACCTTCGAAAAGTTTTTGAAATGACAATAGTTTTACAGTTTGTTAGTATTCAAATTTTCAGAGTTCTTTGATGAGTACAGTTTCAGTGAATTGGTGAATTTGGCAATGTCATAATTCAATGACAGACAGCCCTAGGTATAACGAAAATTCGTTTTTGCTAGGCTGCATGTGGTCAATTTGAATGAAACAAGAATGAATGCAATGATCTAGTGATGCAAATCAAAACCCGTATCGTATTGAATCTGGATTGGTAATTCGAAGCCACTCGTACGTGAAGTTTTTTGTTCAAATAAATCGGGTAATTATGCAGTGTTAGCGTTGTTGTAGCGCAATATGTCTTCGTCAGTGTTCTAAATACTGCTTCCTGTGAACCGCTTCACTGCATTTCTCTCGTAATCAATTGTCGTATTGTACATTCATTTCCACTATTATTTTATCTGGTTTGTTCTTTCCTTGCTCATTTTTATTTGTCATCCGCAGAACGCCTAATAAATTGATTTATTTATGTTAGTCGATGAGTATACATCATAAGGGAGTTCTATCCCAGACCAGAGGCTTGCTCAGCCAATGCCTATTGAATACAAGTCCGCATTGAAGGAGTTATATCCCAAACTTGAGTGTTATCTGCGTGCCATTCAAGTATATGCCTTGGTTGTTCAGGTGCAGTTTAGTTTTGAACCTCAAACTCTCATATGCTTTCGGTTCTTCGCTTTTCACCCTCTCTACTACTCTATTCTCTAGAAATATTTCCTCATTTCCGAAGAGAAACTGATGCCCACCAGTCGATTTCCATTTCTATATCTCGTTTCCCGACAAAAAATTACTGTCCAATAGCACAAATGATCTGAATCATCAACATAAATCGACTTTTTAAGCAACTAAGTGAATTTCATTCGTCTATGTGCATTTCAGCTGTTTTCGGAGGCCTTCTTTAGGCTGCATTTTGTCATTTTACTGCTCAGTTGAGTGCAGTGTATAAGATTTATGGCTGTACATCAATGATGAGTGCTGGTATGGTGTTATTCGACGAAATTCTTGGAGTTGTTGAAGAGAAACTTTTTAATTCGATTCATGTTGATCATTTATTGTGCAACCAATAAAACCACTATTGAAATTCATCATGTAATTTATAATTCATAAAAATGTATCCAATCTCGAAAATAATAAACCACCCTCTGCAGAATATTACGACACTGTTATTTTGGGTGAACATGTAATGACAATTACAATTATTACGATAAAATCTTCGAAACAATAGTCATAACAACAAATCAACAACGGCAATAATAATAACTTAACAACAACAATCCAAATAACGAAATCATATCAGTGAAAACATAATCATAACAATCAAAATCATTGCCAAATCAACAAACTAATAATAAACTCAAAACAGTAACAACGTCAAATCACTCACTCCCTGCCAAATTCACTTCAAAATACTTCAGTTGCCACTACTCTCCTCTTTCAGTTTTTGTTGTTGTAGGTGTTCTTTCATCGATGATATCAGTGGTTGTATAATCACATCACCAACAAACTCATTCGATTTCGTTGATGAATTCTGCCTTCTCGACGCCGCAAATAACATGTCCAATGCACCGATCGTCTGTAAAAACTCTGTGTCGATAGTGTCAATGGTTGTATAATCCGCAAATGATTGCAAACAGCAGCAATACTACCCTCGGGTTAAATAACTACGGTAACTAGCCCCGCCCACACCTAATGCAACCAACAGCAGTACTACCTCTGATGTTAAATGACTACGGTAACTAGCCCCGCCCACAGTTAATGCAACCAACAGCAGTACTACCCCTGATGTTAAATGACTACGGTAACTAGCCCCACCCACAGTTAATGCAACCAACGGCAGTACTACCCCTGGGGTTCGATGACTGCAGTGACCAGCCACGCTTACAGTTAATGCAACCAACAGCAGTACTATCCCTGATGTTAAGCAATCGAATGACGCAAAGAAATTCATATGTTGGTGGGCAAAGCTGAGAATGCGGTAGGCTCGAATATAGCACCGCGTATATCATTGAAATCTTTATCAGGCGGTGTTTCTGTTTTCGTTTTCAACGGAGACGATAACAATTCTACAGTCGTTAATTCCAAAAACTAATTTCAAAGAATCGATCCTCTTCTGGTGCAGTCAAATAGCCGAATCTTATCCTGCAGCTGAAGAAATGGCGGCACAATAGAGAACCTATCACTTGAGTAACTTTCATAAATTCTTTCGAATTAATAGCGTTATTGCAGATAGGATTATCATAGTGCAGTTTTATCAGTGGTTTTCTGAACGTTCATCAGACATCATCGTTTCAACATACGCCCATTAGCATACTAGTATGAGGCGATCTGCACTGTTTGCCTTTTGAAGCTTTTTTTGGGTTCATTATTGTTATTGTCTAAAGGTTCTATGATTTTCGACCGTTTGCTGTTTGGATGACCAATGAGCATTGCACTGAAATATATCGCTCGGTTGGAAGCCGATTCTCACTTTTTGTCCATTTCTTTTTGTTGAACCAAAGGGCAATCCTGTCGAAACTCAGTCCCAGTCAATCTGGCTCACCAATCAACTGAAGTAGTTTATAACAGAATTACCAATATTCTAATTGCATCACACGTATTCTGTAGCAGTGTTAATAATATTATTATCAAATACGCTATTTTTAGTAGTGAAATTGTTGTGGGTCATTATTTGTCACTGACATTATTTGTCACCTACAGTCGATTAGTATGTTGCGGGGATCGGGAATTTCGAAGACCCTGTCCCATTGCCTGCTCCCGACTTTTTTCGAATCGGTTGCATTTTCGAGGTCCTCAACTGCAAATTTTCATCCCCAACTTTCCCATTCCCGATTTTTTCCGTCTTTACAACACACTAATCAATAACATATTGCGTGAGTCATCACTCTTCACTTGCATCATAACCATTTTGACAACAACATAATTTTCTTTTTTCTAGCGTCACGGCATGTATTTCCCTTGCATTCACTCATGTGATTCATTCAACTTTTTTGAATGCAATCATCCCGTTAATCTCGCTTTCTTCAATACATGTTAATCGCAATTAATGCTGAATTTTTCATAGCATTAGATGTTTCTGTTGAAATGCGTGTTCATAAACCCGTATCAGCAATATAAATGTCTTTAAAAGTTCCCATCACAATTCTCAGCAGTGACCCAAAAGATCCAAAATGCTATGGCTGGATGATTTGTAAGAGTACCTTCACTTACTTCGTCCGAATTGGCTCGTTATAGTGGCCTAACTAAATCACTAGTAACTTTGAGCCGTTTTCATGTTATGATTAAGTGGGTTCGATTCATACGTTCCCTTAAATTCATATCGGCAACTTGGCACTTCTATAGGTTCCGATATTATCATTATTCATACTGAACACAGAGATCTTGAGACTACTAGGATGGCTGGGAGCGATGCATACTGAAAGCGTGCAGTATTCAACATCCAGCCAGACCCACTGCTCAGAAGAACCTCTCAAAATCGGTCGCATGTGTTCATGCATTCCGGTTCCGTCATGCACACTCTTCAACAAAAGTATTTTATCAGTGTTGAGAAGAAGAGATTCAAATTGTTTCAAAAGTTAACCTCTCAAGCGTCCTAATGAAGACCCGCGAGGCATTTGACGTCTGATAAAGCTGAAATGAAGTGCATCTTGATGTTGTCATGCTTCATAAGTATCCCCAGCTATAGTAGCAATATGCAATAAAAATGAATTTAATGACTTTCGATTCCGAACACGGGTCGAAAATTAATCGGGAATACAAACAGAATCCACTCTTATCACTTTGCTAGGAATTCGTGTTTACGCAACGCTCACTATCTATTTTGATTTCTTTATGAGCACTGTTTTTGTTTTTGACAAATGCACTCCGTATTATACATAAATTAATGTGATCATTGAACTACTTCAGCAGCTTAAAATGGATGCAGAATTAATTTTTTACGCCACTCAATCACCATCTTATCATATTCAGTTGCCTACCAACTTCTCCAACACTCATGCTCTCTGATTCGAAATCCTATGCTTTCGTCAGTATGACCTCATCAATTTGTCATAGAAAAAAGTTAGTGTTCGTCAAAAATCTCATTAGAACGTTTTCTGTCGTTGTATGTGTCGTTTTCTTATCAGTTTGTGTTGAAAATAACCAATTGATCGTTTTTGTCAAAAGAAACTGAAAGAGGAGGAGTCATGCGCATAACATAACAATTAAAGTTTGCTATAGTTGTAATTCACTATCAGCGCTCATAATTATCGTTCTGTTTTATTCACTTGTTCAGTTTCGGTGAATCTGTTGCATGGTGACCTTCTTCTCGGGGACATCAATGCATTCACTCAAAACATTCGATTTTACTGGTGATTTGAATGAGTGATCGTTTTTTCTTACAATTAGTATTTTGTGAGCCGAAGCCACTTTTAAAATTTCTCAGACCAATCCAACCGATACCCTCTGATACATTCGAATTTGATAAACATCAAATGTTCAGTGATTCTTTGTGAAACATCATTTTGACGTATTCAGTTCGAATGAATCGTAGAGAAATTTTCTTTCTTGTTTTGAAGGATTTCATTCAAAATAAATATTCTTTCAAACGTTTCGTCTTTCCATCCTTCCTCTACAGTTCTTCACATTAATTTTTGTGTGTGAATAAGTTAAGAGTCAATCAACTGTTAACAAACAAAGTATGTAAACAAATCAAAGTATAAACTTCCTCGAAACCTTGCTTCTCGTTAGTAAGTGCAGAAAAAACTGAATCAGCAGTTTCGTATTAGCGTAAACGTCTTATGAAAATCTTTTTGTTTTCCTTCTAAACTCTTATGAAACTGGTGTGGAGATAATGAGCTTTGTATTGTATGATATTGATTTGTTAATTCGAGCGGTAGGTTTGTTGAATTCAGTTCATCTTTTGAACTGTCTTCTCAAGTTCATGCACCAAACATCTCAATCAGTTCGGATGATATATAAAGAACTGTACTTATCCATTTCAATGTTAAACCAATATGCCCGTTTCACGTCAAATGTTCAACGAATGTCATGTCAAGAGTATGAGAAAACCGGTCGGCTTCTCTAATAGTTTATTTGAAAATGCTTGCTTTAGTTATGATTAGACAGCAACTGAGTAAACAGAATCATAAAGAACAGTCAGTTGCACATACTTATAGTTCGTATGAAAGGGCACATGCAATTGAATAGTCGTTTTCCAATGAAGTTCAGTTTTATCTAAGTTGTGGGTCAGTATGAAAAAAACTCCAGTGAATGTTGCAGCAATGATTCGGATGATAAAATTCAGCAATGAGCATAAACTCCGACCTAGGTAGAATGATCTTGGAATGACTTTCATTCACCACTGAATAGTGGCGGTCATGGACTTCTGAAGAATAAGAATACCGAATATAGAAGCAACTATCGTTTTTTTTCCTCTTCATTAAGTCATTATCTGTGTTTTATGATAAGGAACGTGTTGTATTTTTTTTTGTACAATTTCGCCCACACGTCGCACAGAGAGGCAACGAGTACTTAAATGACAAATCTGCTGTCATTAAGTTGTCGAGCCAATTTCTTCAACCGCTGCGCTATTGAAGCGAAACAGCGATGTGGAACAGTTGATGCGTCAATTCGCTTACTGTGACGATTTTGGCATTTGCTTACAAATATATTACCTATATTTCATAATTTACGCTGTTTTTTCTTTAAGATTTATTAAATTAAGCTAGCTGCGTTCTCTGATCAGTTGTTACAATTCGGTTCGTTAAATCGTTCGCCTATTAAATCGCTTTGTTCATCTATCGATGACGTTCTACTGCTTCAAAGTGTGAAGGCTCTTTGGAACTGAAATCTATAATATAATTGTGTTGATATTTGTCTCATTCATAAGCTTTTCGTGAACAGCTTTGGCCTCCTGATTCATGAGTGAGTTTCAAAATATTTCGATGGTTTCAGAATTTCGTCCAATGGAAACTACCTCATCAACCGAGGCGTTCATCTATCAAAATGAACCACCTGCCTGTGGTGTGATACGCAATGGAACCGACGTTACAGTTTTTGACTGTGTGTTTTCTTCTGATATCAACAGTGATTTTTACTGTGTTGTAGAATATTTTCCCATTCGAATAACTGCTACGTATAATGCGTTCAATAGTATACAAAGGTGTTTTTTGGGGCTATAATTCAGTTCCTTAACTCGTGCCATTATTACTAGCTGCTTCTTTCGGTTTTGCTTGTTCATTCGAACATGAGAACTCGACAAATTGGGCAATTCTTTATTTTAAGAAAGCTGATATCTTGGAGCGTGGTCCAAAAACGTAATGCTTTATGTGACAAAAGCAAATGCCTTTCCAGCAAGATGGCTCCTTCAATGAAGGCCTATATACCATATTTCGATCATGTGCTAATGAGAGAAGAGTTAAACTGGTTTCTTTGCACACTTTTTGGTTCTGCAATTCTCAGCACCGTAAAGTTATTGGAACGACTGATTTGAATTTATCAAAAATCGATTGATTACGTTGTGAGGAAGTGTTTCCGTTGAATGACTTCAATTGAAAGTCATCCTCGTCTCTCATTTTTCTAATGCGAATACTTATGACCTAATCAATATTTTTCGGTTTTCGACTAGTCTTATTACCTGAACAATTAGTTTCAATCCTTTCTTTATGAAATGCGCTATTCAATCCTGGTCGAGCTACCTGAGAGCATCATTTTTGTTGACCCTCTAGGAACTGTTTTTCTTACATCGTCACAGATTTCCATTTCTGTAATGGTTTACTGTCAAATCACTGCATCGTTCGCTTATCAAAGTCATATTTCCACCAGCGAACCTCATTTACCATAAGCTCTGAAGTTATCCTGAAAGATCATGAAATTTAGTCGTGAATCTACGTTTCAATGGAATTCTCATTTGAAAAGAAATACTTTCAACATGAGTCACTTCATTCGAAGTCCCTTTTCTAATAGCCAATAAACGCAGAAAAATGCTTCCAAAAACAGTGACCACAGGATGAGGAATCGATAACAGAGATGTTTTTAATAAGAGGATGCCAAGCAAATCAGAAGATTTCAGGTACGGCGATGAACACGACACGACTGTGTATTATGATTGCTTTATCGGTGATTGTTTTCATTTGCTGTGTTGCGATAGCATTCAGAGTTGTGCTCAAATTGAGTACGTTTATTTTGCTCGTATATTCATTTCATTACTTTGTTCTTCCTTTCAGCTTATCACTGCAGTAGTTCTTATCATCTCTTCATTCTAGCAATTCTTTAGTCATCGTAAATGAGCGGCGAAAGGAAAAAAAGGCCAGGTCACCGCGTCAACACATACTATTGTTTCAAATTCTTTTTGAACACTAAGCAAGTCGTCTACTATACGAAAATGATTAAACACTATCATATCATAGCAATGATGCAACAACTCCAAGAAATTCAGTGATCAATTAAAATCACTTTATTTCCTCTCCGTTTCCTAATGGGTGAATCTTGTTTGCATACATTTGTTCGTAGTGATTGATAATCATGCTCAGTCGTTCGTTCACCTTCACTTTGGAAGAAGCAATATTAACGTTTATATTAATAATCTTGAACATACCGAAATTCATAAGCTTTTACTCCTGAGTGAGCAAGATCAATAGACATAAAACAAATATAATATTGTTTTAAAGTTTAAATGCGGCGAAGGAATGTTCAAGATATTATGCGAGATCAAGAACGATCAAGCAATATGAACATAATGATGTTGACAATTAGTAACTGAAAACGATACACATCAAAGAGGCACTTGTCATCGTTTTATGATCACCTTCACTAGTGCAAGAAGAATTTTTTTGCGGTTCCAATAAATTTCGAAATCTTTTGCAGTCAACAGCATGCGCTCACAAACATGAACGTTGTGAACCAATCATTCCTCCCTTTATAGAGAACACAATACGTACGAGATAAAACGGCGAACGCTGAGAAATTTTGTGATGATTTTGCAAATGCGACCAATATTTCAGAGCATCGAGCTGCGCAAAAACGTGAAGTATACGCTGTGGATGTGCCACCGTCATACTCAGACTTGATACCACCATCCTACGAATGGGCCATCAAACATATGCGTAAATCTAAGAAGGAACAACTTTCTTCTCCGTCCTCATCTTCATCTTCAAAAGACGAAAAAACTACCGAAAGCACTATACACGGGTGTTTTAAAGTATAACACAAAAGAGTCGTAGAAGCACTGCAACGGAATATGCAAATGAATCGATGATGTACATAAATGATGATCTGTTATGTATAATAATGATTCGTATTCAATGACCAGAAATAAACTCTGTTGTACTATTTGTTAAGCCGAACTGGCAACTCAGAAGTATTGATGGTATAAATTCAATTAATGCCTTTTACGATCATCTATTTTAGCAGCAAAATGTTCTGCATGCTCACTCTCCACTGTAAATTTGCTCGAGTTTCTATCGATGACGCGATGTGCTCACAAAAGTTCTCCTCAAAACATTCCGCTGAAATTGTTTCAACGATAAAAACACATGGACCTCCCTGCATGGAGCAAACGCGATTGCCTCATTGAGGAGCTTCTTACCATAGAACAAACTAAAATCGCCGCCTTACAAAAACAAATTGTAGAACATGATAGAAAAATCGCGATCAGGCAAGCAAACAGGCAAATTTCATATTGCAAACACTGATATTGAACAACATTCGACAAAAATTGCAACTTTATTGAAACATTATGGAAACAATTACAATTGCTCGCCAAAACAGAGCAAAATTCAGTCAGAAAACGCTGCCACATTAAATAAAACAAAAACAAAAATTCAAGTAAACAACAAACATGCTCAAGATATTCAACAAATATAGAGCCAAAATACTGAGATGATGATGATGATGACGAAAGAGCAGACACCAGACAAAAACAATCTAGATCTCAATTTATGCAATCAAATTATTTTCGTCAATAGGGAGACGACCATTACCAACGAATCGATTCATAACCGGACAAGAAATTTTGATGTACTGTGATGAAATTTTATACAGTGATGCTTCAACCAAGCGAAACCATACCAAGGATCCTACTCTTCCAAAATTCCCCAAACAAACGTCCCATTCAGGAAACAAAGTGCATAAATTTCAACGGAAAAAGAGAAATACTACACTCCAGAGGTTATACTACGGGAAATCAACCTTGGAAACACCAAAATTCATATCGAGCTAGAATGACGAAGCAAACCTATTATGGGAATAGCAGTTACCTCCATAAATAACAACTCACTTACTCAATCCTATTTTAGTGAGATGATTAATCAAGCTTCAATGAATCACAGTAAGATTGCGGAGAAACAACTGAAAGAGTGATGTCTTCCTTTTTGCTGATAAAATGGTCCACAAAAGTTCGGTACAGTTGGCTAAACGATTGCTTTTTGTATTTTGGTGTCTTCGAGAAAGAGCGAAAGAAGTATTCACACACACACACACACACACACAAAATGATATCAATAAGACGATGATTATTTGTATTATATACGATAGAATTATCGGCTAGGGCAAACTATACATGGAAAACATGTTGAGTAGTTTTAGGTAGATGATTAATCAATTCAGCCTCAATGAATCGCAGTAAGATTGCGGAGAAACAGCTGAAAGAGCGATGAAATATTTCAAAATTATAATAAAACCAATACTGAATAAATAATAAACATCATAGCTGAATAAATGAACAAAATTTAAACGATAACTAACAAAAGCAAGAAGAATTGAAGGAATGAGCAACTAACTCAACAAAGCAAAATCAATTACAATACCGTATAGGAAATATGACAATAATGCATTTATGCACAACTGAATACAAACAATTCCATATTCTAAAATTCTCTAATGTGCAATATTCAACAAGACGTAAAATTTACAAAGAAAGAATAACACAGTTACTTCTTATGTCAAAAAGTCACCATTTTTAGAGCTACAGAAACGGAGTAAAAGACAACTTCTAAATCCACTGCAAAGTTTCTGAATCTCGCAGTTAGTTTTTCTGGCAACCTCACTCCACAAACATCTTTTAAATTGAATCATTATTTAAAAACAATGAAAACAAAAAATAATCGCTACGAAGCTCTCACAAACAAGTCACAAGAATTATACTCTACACCTCAAATGATCTATCGACATGAATAGAAATTGGTGATAATGAATACCATTAAAGAAAGAATACCATATTTATTTGGATGGATGCATAAAATGCAGTTAGAACCGCAATAAGAAGTAGCTTTAAGCTCAAGACGTACGTATAACAAAATCGCACAAATAAGAATACTTCAATACAATATAACATGAATGAGATGGAACAACACATCATTTGGTAAAACTGATAAAAATTGAATACGTTATGAGAGCATAATATCTGGAGCGAGCGAACAATTTCATTGAATGAGGATATCTCGAAGGCATAATTATATGGTTGAAAAATCATGAATAAAAAGCAAATTTTTGGTTGATTTCATACTTTCACTTCTCCCAACATCACTATCAAAGAGAACTTTAAAAAACGCGAAAGCAGATTGCAAGTTATACAAAATTCATCGACGATGAAAACAAATCGAGAACGCAATGAAGCCCATCAACAAAAATAACAAAAAATTACAAACGCTACTCTTATTCATAGTGACAAATCAAACTTTTCAAAATTTCACATCAGACAAATCGAATATTTTCATCATAACATAATAAAAAAATTATTGAGCAGAACAAAAAAACTGAATGACGCAAAACAACAAGCAAATAAATACCATGTTCACTGCACAATAATCGAATTCGCTAGTTTTAAATAATCGAACTCATTACCTTATACAAACCATCTTTGATGATATTTCAGACTTTCAGGCTTATGAATCAGTCGATTCACCCAATACGCCAAGAGAGCAATAAATCAATAAGTTTAGAAGAGAAACTGCAACCCTTTACGGCATTATTGCAACATTTCTGCTCAGTGTGATTATTGAAATGATAAGTGAGCAACGAATGATCTGCAAATATCAGTATGAACCTCTGGATATTGCAAAACGTTTTCTCTACTCCAGCATCCCTCAGCTGTATGCTTTATGTCTCCGAACACGTCCTCTCGCACTAACACTCGTCGTATAGACGATCTTTTCTTCGCTATCATCCGAATCGTTCTCGTCTTTCTCTTCACAGTAGTTGATCGCCTTTGTGGCCGCTCGGGGTCTCAATCGTTTTCTGGACGTGGCTCCATCCCTCGAGCTAGCCGGTTCTTCCACTTCAGCGCTACCGTCATTTTCGCTTTCACCCGCTCCATTCAATAGGTGCTCTTCTTCCTCGCCGACTGGATACAATCGCTTACGACGCGAGATATTACGCCGATTATTATGAGATCTTGATGTGGATGGTTCAATGGCATCGTTTGAGCTCGTTCGATTACCATTCGCTAGACTTGCATTTCTTGCTGCTGATGACTGTTGCTGTTTTGTACGTCTCGTATTCTTACGTTTACGACAATTCGAACTACTTGCCACACTATCGCGACTCGTCTCATCATCTGGTTCGCTTACATAGAAAGTTGGACGCTTTCTCGTTCTAAAAATGAATAAACAAGAAACAATGAAGAATGTGCTGAGCACATGCTCGAACTGATTCATCTTCAGACTCCTTCAAAGTTGATTTCATGAAAATTTTGGAAATCATTTCTTTTCCATATGCATACACGATCTCAACCGCACAATCGCAACACAAAATCTTTTCAAAAGCTCGCACGTGAATGTCCAAAAGAAAACGTTCGCCTGCTTCTATACTCATCTCGCTCACATTAATCAGAAACGTTACTAACCTTGAGCTTCTTCGATACCCACAAGGACTGTTCGATGCCGTACTTGAATCGCGAGTAATGTCAGCTGTTGTATCCGGATAAAAGTTTGAATCTTCTACTTCTTGTCGCTCTTGTAGCTGTCCATCTTTCATGTTCTCTTCTTCCCGATGTTCTCTTCCCACACCCTCCCCATCCACACGGTAACTTTCATCCGAAGACGACGCACAACTTTTTACCCTTAAAAATCTTTTCCACTCCAATTAAACAGACTATAGACGATGAGATCAACTCTTTGTTGAAACTACCGAACGCTACCAATACAATTGTCAGTATTAACAATAAGGATCTTGCGCGATAAGTGAACTAAGAGTCGATTTAATTCGGCGATCACAAAAATCAAACGGATTAGAAACATTACCTGGCACAACCTGGCGGGTTCACTTCATCAACATGCTTATCGTAATCATTCTCTGTTTCGTCAGATAAGATCGGCTCCATTTTCGTCTTTAAATCCGATGGTCCTGAAGGAAATAAATATGCACAATCTGGAAATGATATTATCTATCTCGAATCAACAGCTTCGTTTACGAAAATATTCGAAGTCGGGAATGACACAAATGAATGAGTAATTGTGATACATACCGGATTCGTCAGTAAAAGCGAACGACGTTCTTGGCTGATCTTCTGAAGCCGTTGTACCTCTGAAGAGAAAATTTAAAAAACCTCAGTGGAATTAATGTTTGAAGAATCAACACATTTGCACAAATTTATCAATCAGCAAGATGTTAACGTCCACATCAAAAAATTCTCTAACGAAATTTTCAGATATTAAGAATGGATCAACGAAAATGGATGTTGAAGATAAGAGCAGTAAATAGTCACCTGATGGATGATTTACTGTGCAAGGCGCTGGTGGATGGAGCATCATCCTAAACATGTGAATAATTACGATCTGCAGCATTATTTAGGAGTTGAAAAATTCGAAGAAATCACGAGTAATTACGTTATTTTAAAGAGAACATATTTAATGAACGAGCAATAAAAGCAAGGTGTAATGTTTCAACAATCAATTCATAGTTACCACTTCAGAGTCAGTTGTCAGGTTTGTTGTTGTCGTGCGGTGACCATCTGTAGAACGTGAAAAAGTTGCACTCTGCTGAGAATCACCCTGATCCCCTGATGAATGATTACGGCCTTCTCGTGTTGTTGTCGTGCGCTCATTTCGAGCAGCCGTGATGTCGCATTCTTGAACAGAAATTCAGTACGATTCTACCAATAACTAGAGCTATCTGAGAGATCTCGGAGCTCAGTTCCAATTTTGTTTTAAAAGATTATTTTCTTCAATTCCCATTTAAGAGCTCAATTCAAATAATCAATCAAATTAGTCCACTTCAGATGGTGTGAATGCTCGCAGAATGCCTAAAATTTTCGCCAACCTGTTGAGCGCTGAGCGAACAGTCCATTATTTAGATTACGATAGTATCCATTTGGCGGACGGAATGAACGAGACTGGTGATTCAAAGTTGTTACCACCGAAGGATTATCCGCATCCTGCATTGTGCCGTGTTCATGCCGGCTGTAAAAATTCAGTGTTTATTATGTTCCTCTTTGATTGTTTTCAGTTGCAAATTGTTATCGTTAACGAATAATTCTGATCAAATACGAGTGGAATGGTTAAGAGAAATTACCACAATATGATTAGTTAAGTTGTTATTAATCACTTCATTGAAAAAACAATTTTTATCTACAATTCGATTGATCTAACGTATAAATGTATGCGAAAGCGCATCTCATCGTCAATAACGAGGTACTGTAAAATCATGCAGTGCAACAGAGAGCTACCTCCTTGTATTGTAAATATGCGAGTTTGTGGTTGATTTTGGTGGTCTATGCCTCAGGTTTCGTCCACTGCTGTCCGCAGCATTTTCGTCAAGCGATTGGCTGCGTTGCTGCATACGTTGCCACTTGGCTAATACTGGAGCGATGCTGTTATTGAAAAGACCCAAAAACGTTAAACTATTCTGATAGATCTGCAATGAAGAACAACGCGATTAGCAACACTGAAAAGAAAAACTGATCATAAAATTGCACATTAAAGCGAAGAGCACTACTAACCGGTGATCTCTTATTATCAACTGTACTCCGACATGTTTGCATGAGTCTTTCGACGGCACTTTTCAGCTCCATCGGAGAGGCGTATTCGTTACTGCGAAGTTTTTGCTGAATTGTTTGCAGATCATCACAGCCATCCTTGTACACTTCTGATAACTGTAAATCGCATCAAAATGAATTAATTTCTAGTGAAATAACGCACAGAACCACCACCACCACTGACACACGGCTGGACCGGTGATCAGAGACTGGAGACTTCAATGAGCTAAACAAAATTTTTCAGCAGTCCTATTCTTCACCACCTGACCAATTTGATCAACCGATTTTCAGCAGCAGCAGCGTATTTTCCAAAACGTAAAAAATTCAATCGCACTTTGAAATGACAATGGCAAATAGCAGCAACAACTAAACGCACCAAATTTGGTGAACAAGAAGATAAAGAATAAAAAGTAAAAAAGCAATTCGATCCAATTTCTAAAGGCAGTCAACACTCTCGCTTACCTCGTCGTTCAAACCCAAAAAATGCGATGCTGAGGTGTGATCGAGGAGTTGCCCAACAATGCGCATTGCTTCAGCCACCCATTCTGGTCCACATTCACTCAACAAACTCACACCAACACCGTCACTCATCGCCGACCCACCACTGCACCCTTGAGCAGTTCCATTCGTGAGCATTGCCCTGCTATGACCCTTCTCGGTTGTCCCATAATGAAGTCGCTGTCGACGATTATATTCGATCAACTCACTTTCGGGCGCCACTTTCAGTTCATTGAATAATGCGCGCGCGTCGTTGTATTTCGTATCCCTCAAAAACAAACACATTCCCAATTCAAACAAATACGGCAGCCTATCAATAGAAACATTTTTTTCTTAGAATGGAATCGCTAAGAATTACCAGTAGGTGAAGCCGTGAACTTTCAAGGCTCAGCTCCGTAAATATTGTCAGTTATCAATCCCATACCATAAAAAGAGGCAATTGACACATAAGTACCCAAACAAAGCGAATCAATAGACAAGACTTAACGACGATCTAGCATCTAAGCAAGACTCAATCAAGGAAGAAGTGGTATTTACCTTAGATAACGAATCAGCGTTTCGACCAAAACCCTCGAATTGTGCACAATTATACTACCGCGCTCATTGAACATACTTGCGTTGATGGCAATATAGCGAATATCTTGCTCACAGCTTCGCAATCGCCTGCAAAATGATAAATGAGATAAACACCATCGGTCATAGACTGTTATTTGTGATTGATTCTCTTCAACGCATGTGCCTTCATCGAATATCAACAATGAGCAACACAAAATTCAATTAATTTAAATTAATAAAAATTTAATTAATTCAAAATATTACCTGTAGAATTTATTTCTTACACGTTGCTCAATTGTTTGCAAATCAATCGGGTAGTCGACATTCCACGAATATTCCGGATACTCTTCCAGATTAACTGGCGCGGCGAATGGCCGCACGTCGGGTTCACCGTCGAGCTGCTCGAGTGCAGTCAGCAGACGATTGCAGCAAGCCTCTACACCCGTGACAGCACCGATCCACTCGAAGTCCACAAACGGATACGCTGAGAACTGCAGTTGCTCAGCCTCGGTTGCCATTCCTGCAGTAAAAATTAGAATAGGCCTGAAACATGCAGCTGAACGATATCACAACAATAATCAAAACCGAATGATCTCGATCAAAACTTGACATTAAAAGTGATAATAATAATAATAATAATGGCTTTAATGATTTCAGGAGCCTGTAAAAGTTCATACCCGATCGTCTGTTCGGCTGGATTGGCTGCACATCCCACGGACTCATCTTTTCGTCTTCACCCGTATCCCACTTCACCGTCAAGCAATACCAGTTCGACCTGAAGTACCGACCACATCAAACACAATCTTTCAAGATGTTCACCTACAATGAGCAAACAGCCAACCTTGGATAACTCTCCTCATCATGTGCCTCCTTCTTATCCACAGTTCCCGTCCACCAATGATTATCCAGAATTGTCTCGATACGATCGCCCAGTTGGTAGCGCCTCGATACAGATTCGTTGTATAAATGTCGTAGTATGATAAAATCCGGTACATTTTCCATATCGTGATATCTGAACGGTCATTATAAGGATAGCACAACACAAAGACACAATACGAAAAAGAAGCATGCAGATATAATATCATTTGATTACATCTCTACACTACCATATAAAGATAGGTTGAGTTAATCTTTTGGGATACGTGATTCAGTGGCATTTCAAGTCCTGATGCAACAGTTCGTTGCATCAGGACTTAAGCGGTGATAATACTGAGAAATTTAGCACGAACCTAACCGAGAAGACAAGTCCAGTACGAACACCGTTATCATCAATTCGCGCCAATCGTACCATTGTAAGTCTGAATGGCCTTCGCACATATTTCACCTTCAATGGACATAAAATTTTGTGGATTGTATTCGCTTGAGAATGTTCTCTGCCTTGAAGAATTTTGATAAAAACAGAAACTAATGAGAAGTTTAATTGTCGTTATGAATGGATACCGTTCAAGAAACATACGAAGCAAACATACTCCGAAATGAAATAATTATTCCAACCTCATCAACTACACAAAATTCCTCAGCGTCCAACTCGGCAAGTGGCTGCATACGAGGTGTTACAGTATACAGATTATGCTGCTCAACAGATTGCAGATACAATTCATGACCTAGAAATCAAAGTCTAACCTTCACATCACAAAATCACTCTTTTTCGACAAGCACAAGTTGATAAATATTATAACAGAAACGAACCTTGACGGAAGTACACAACTTCATCGTCCAACTGCGCAATATATGGAAACTTCATCGGTTGCACAAGCCGCATCCACGTCGGAAATTCAACCATTCGCATTGCTGTCGTTACGCGTCGTTGTCTGATTGTACCACCACGACGAACATCTTTTTCGGACTGCTTCGCTGTTAGCATCTGGTTGACAGATGACGATGTACTCGGATCGCCGTCATCAGCCACCAACTCGCATTCCTCTTCTCGAATCGGTGATAGAGGTGTTGAAGGCGTTAGGATATCGCTTGATGAAGCACGATTTCCACGTGACGAAGTGGTACCGCCGCTGTTGGCGCTGTGCTCATTACGAATGCGTCTTTTACGCGATGAACGATTGTTTGCTGCCCTCTCAGCTGTGCGAGTGGCTCTTGCCTGTCCGCTTCTGGACGATCCGGATGGACCCGGCTGATCCTCTAAGTGCGACGATGTTGCTGCGTCGTCATCGTCTTCCTCTGAAAGCAAACACTAAAGTTTCATTTCAAACTGTCCGTACTCTCACTGAAAGAAATCAATCAATACAACTCATATAAAACGATAACCGCTACCCACCGCTACTTATCACAACTCTCCGTCTTGTTCTCACTTCACTGTTGCGATTTCCTCTCTGCCGCTGCCTACTCGAATTACGGGTATTGCCACCTCTTTGCAGACCACTCGGCCCTGGCTCGTTATCGTCACCTCTTCGACGAGACTGCAGTTTAACATCCATCAATTAATTATCAAATATTCATGAAGTATGAACGTCGAAACGAACAAATGAGGGAACATGACTATAAAACTCCACTTAGTGCATCCTGCCGAACATACGTTTGTTTGTTTTTGTTTTTTTGAAATGGTTTGGCGTGGAGGAACATACCCGAGTGTGATCGGCACGAGTTCGTTCAGCGCAATAATCGCTATCACTCGAGTTGTCGGACGTCTCACAGAAGTCATCCTCATCGTCATCGTCGTCGCTCACCACCACGTCGTCCTCATCCTCATCGCTCTCCTCGTCGTCGTGTCCTGTCGACGTGAACGTCGAATCTTCACTCGAATCTGCTGACAACACTTCATCGATATCATCGATTGATAACGGCCGTGACGACTGCTCTTGACCTGCTGCTGCACAACTCTTCTTTACATGCGCTCGAGAATCACCTTCTGCAAGTGATCGATTTAATGATCACATTTAATTTAATATACAGCTGGCAGAAGTGATTCAGTAAAACATTCTATTCAGTTCATATTGCGATAAACTTACGTCCTTTCTTACGGGCGGCTGGTGCTGATTTAGATGTGCACTGTGGCAATCGCTCATCGTTGATCCTCACAACCGACTGAACACGTTTCAGTTCACGTTCGATCGCCTGTGCCTCCGACTCCCTCAACTCAGTTAGTTGGGCATTCATTATGTCGATAGTTGATGGCGGCAATCGATCAACCATGCAGCGATTCAGCCAAATCGGCTCCATCGCTTGCTCAGGATGTTCCGGGTCGAACCCTTCTCTTCCGGGCACGAGTCGTTGGATTTCGGTCGGATACACCATTCCATCAGCATTCACGAAATTCGGTGGCGGTAACAAGTGTGTTGCCACTTCGAGTTCTTCATCGATCGTGAACCCGCTCTCCAGATCCGATATAACGCTACTGAAAAGGCAACCAATAATGCGGCTCGCCGAGCAAGTTACGATTCGTTTGACGTTTACACAAATGTTTTCGCTGAAATAGTGTTGCTCAAGCAATCGATCACATGAAAGTTACAACTAAGAAAACACCAGAAATATTTCCCATCCACTCACATGTAATCTGTATGGAAGAACTGCTCCTTTGGCATTGTTTTCGCTCGCTGATTTGTGCCCACACCCAATATGCTCAAATGACCGTGCGAGTCAACTGCGCCCACCAGCGTTCCATCTGTTGAAATGGCCACATCAAATAACGGCAAATTACCGCGAGTATCCACTTGATTCTGATATCGTTTCACCAAAGTGCCATTGAACACATTCCATACCTTCATAAGAGCATCAAAATAATTTTCTTAGCATCTCTTTCAAAAACAATCATCCAAATCAACGTTCTTTTTGGACATCCATGAAAAGAATACAAAACGATACATCATCGAGACTTACTTACGTTGTCCACGTTTCTTTTTACCATCCTTATTTCAATTTGATCATTAGTGAGAGATATATTTAAAAGATAAGCAACTGAATCAACCACGAATTAGAAAGGAGACGGAACGAAACGCAATGGCTAAATGACCAAATGTCCGTCCGGCTGAATACAACGAAACGAAACGAAACAACAAACCAATAGAAATCCGTCATGTCCCGCACTCAGTATGTATTCTCTGAATATCGGATGTGCTGTCAGCACAAACGCTTCATCTTTATGCCCAACCAGCTGTCGTATTTCTTGCCCAGTGTTCGGGTTCCAAACTCGCAGCGTATGATCAGATCCAGACGTTATCGCATAGTCATCCTCTAGACTCCAACACAGCATCGTCACTTTATAAGCGTTCTTTGCATTCGACGCTGGCCGTTGTTCATCTCTGTAATTTTAATACACTTTGTCTATCCATGAACTGTTCCGAAAAAAAACTGTTCAAATTCGATAAGAGATATCAAACAAATGATCGATCACAAATCAATCGAAAGATCCTACAAATGGCAACGAAACGAGCACAAACATGCACTCCATGCATTTATCTTCATGGAGATGTGAAGTGAAGATGAATTCACAAAAAAGTTTGAAACATTGCACAAAACAACAACCAAGTCAAAAAAGCGCACTAGAATGCTTATGCCAAGCATCTCTACGAATGCTTATGGCCTGGCGAATAGGGATGATCGTGTGGATGGATGCGATACACGAGCGATAATGTTCCCTACACCTACCTCATTTTAGCATCAAGCACAACTGCCGTCCATTCGTTGCATTCAAACTTCCACACCTTCGCCAATCCATCATGACTTCCACTAGCAAAACGAATACCACTGTGTGCCCATACCAGACTATCAACCTTATCCTAAAAATACATCCTTTTCTGCTTGTTCAAAAAGTGAGCGTCAAATCACAACAACTGCTCGACTGAATAATGCATTACGCTTTTGGTGATCACAAGTGGATGAATGAGATGAGCAAATGGAATGTTCAGAAACAACAAATAAATACCTACCGTATGTCCTTGGATCTGCAAAACTTTATCGACACCGTCCTTGAACACTCGATAAATGCGTATGAAATGATGCGTGTCACCCACAACCACCAGATTACCACCAGGACTGTGACACGAACTGATCACCCTCGAACCCGTTGATGTTCGCTCGTGGAACACCAAAGGATGATTCCTTCAAAAGAAGCATTCCTTCAGTTACTTTAACGCACCATTCAGCAGATATTTCATCTGTTCACTATTCGAGAACATTCTCCAAGCAAAGATCGCTCGCGTCCAAACGAAGAAGAGTGTAAATGAGAAATTGTCGTTTCCGTCCAACCAAATACCATTGATAACCAGAAGAAACATACAAAAAGATGACTCTTAGGATGGGATGAAACGGAAATGTGATGCAAAGTGATGCGCAAGAAAACAGACTCAAAAATATGATCGCTCGCGGTGTAACGATAAAAGTTGACGACACAATCACGTCCGGTTGAGATCAAGTAACGAGTATCACCGTCAACGAAAGGTAGAAACGAAATCAAAGTCACCATCGCCGTATGACTTCGAAAGATGCGTAAACAAGCTGCCGTTTGAAGACACCATATCCTGCAAAGATTTCGAATAAATATTTGCCGAATGAAGAATGAACACCACCTCACAAGCAAATTACTTCTCCGAACAAAGGTCCTGACGTTCATCTACAAGAAAATTGACGGTTGCTAAAACTGCGGGACATCACTGGCTAGGTAGGAAGGAGGATGATTCAATACCTGCTCACTAAGGAAGTTAAGTGGTAATTGTTGACAAGTTAAACGATAAATGCATTGAAGTCAACAATAGTTCTCTCAAAAAGTCCTACCTAACAGTCTTATCAACTGATCCAGTCGCAAGTAACACGTTATCATCAGATACCGTCATATCGGTTATCTCGCCTGAATGGCCTCTCAACGTGAAACGAAGTAAACCACTTGTTGCCGACCAAATTTTCACCAAATTATCGTCTGCGCCCTAAAATAACCTCACATCAATGTTTCAGCACGACAATCAATAGCAGCAATGGAATGCTGTAAGAATGCGAGGCAATGACAATCGATAAAGTCACCTCTTCAAAGTATTTCCTTCAATAGCACTCTCCAAAGAATCGAGCGAAAATCAAATTCATCACCAAATCAAACTCTAAACAATAATCCTAATTTTATCAAACCGTACCGTTATAATGAAACGTCCTGTTCGATCGAATGCAACGCAAAAAACTGACGATAAATGTCCCAATATACGGCAATGTAATTCGAGTGACTGCATTGAATTCTGAAATTGACAGTACTTCACTCTGGCAAGGCTCTACGGCATCATTACCTTATGGAGCATGTGTCGTCTCGGTAGACGTCTTCCCAACTCACGAACCCCTAACAGTTGTAGTCTATCCAATCGATCCAACGGTTCGCAAGCCCTCGGGTTCACCGCATCACGAACACGCGCTATATTACGCACTGATTCTGAATTTTATTATTGATCGCATCAATTCAGACATATGCATGAAGAGATAGACCCATTCTAATACATACAAATGGATGATCATATTCGTCACTAAGTCGCTGAAGTAAAATCTCGAAATATTCCTTCAATGTCCTGTCAGGTCACACCATTTCATTAAGAGAATCAGGAGAATCTCAAAGAAACTTCCAACTGAATGTGTCACATTTTATACCGAATAAAGTAAACCTTCAGTTCGATCGAGCGCAAGTCGACGACTGTTGAAAATGCGAAGTGGCAGGGATAAGAGCGGTGGTGGAAGCAGTCGATTTTGAAGCGCACTCAGCCGTTCGATTATTGAGACTAGTGACGGTTGATTGCCCGAGACTTGCCGTTCCTGAAAGATGATCGTCTTAGAAGCAAGATACGACATGGTGCAATAGATCGTTATTGAGGCAATAGGTAACAGCACAACACCAACTCAATGAGAAGATAACGATGAACTCACATAATCCATGACTGACTGCCTATGTGCAACACCTCTGTAATCATACCGTTGCGGTACCAACTGAAAATGCGTTTGAATCATTAAACAAGATAATATGGACCGTCAAAAAATGGAACTATATAAATCAGCCAACGTACGCTCAACCGTTCGATTTCATTTCGTAGAACTTCGGCAGCTCTCTGGCACGGTCCATGTGCTAGGTGCCGTTGAATTGCGAGTAGAAGTTCTGAAATTAAAAGCTTCTTCTCCACTATGAACCCATTCATTATGAGTCGGGGGATAAAATGAACGAAAGGAAACTTTTAAAAATTGGATGGAGATTTGTGAAAACAGGTGAAGATTTTTTGGGAATCTATATGGGAGAGATGGGAGAGTAAAGAGATGATACAAACCACAGTGAGTTCGGCGATCAAACGAAGATTGCGGTTGGGCATCATTCATTATGGAGGCGCTTAGTGGATTTTGCGAAATCATATGTACACGACGAAATGTAAATCTGATTATTGATTCAATGAAAATATCAACAGAAAAATATCTGAAATGACTGCGATATAGACTGGTTTGATGAAGGGAATAGAACCAAAACACACGACACGCTACAAATCCAAAACGACCGATAGATGAAAAATGAAAAGAGGAAGCAAACAAATGGGAAGAATTAGCTTACTGGCTTACACATCGTAACCAGTGATGCCCAAATTTACAACAATTACTCAGCCCCAGCTCCTGGTCGATAATTCCGGGAATTTCGAGCCCAGTTCGAGTTCCGGCTCGACAATGTGAACCCCGGCTCCAAAATTCGCTTTGTTCCACTGACAGTGTTGCTATGGTTTTGTTAAGAGAACCAAAAAAATTTTATACACAGTTGCAGAACTCAGGCATCACTGATTTTCGCTCACATTACAATTTCAGGCGTAGCCCACGAGAGGACACTAGATTTCAGCACATGCATTCTTCAGCTATCTTTTCTTGTTCTAAATCTGCTACAAGTCTAAGCAACACTGAGCCTGAACTTAAGTTGCTGTTTAAAGCCAACTCACAACATGCCAAATATCTTGGCTCTTGTCGCCCGTAAATCTCAATCATTCACCATAATCTCGCCATTCTTTGGGACCGCACTGGAAGGCTAACCCCAGTAGGAAAGTCTGCTCTGAATAGGCCCACATTCCGAACACTGCTCCAGAACAATTTGTGCCTCCTCCTCCTCCTCTCTCTAAGAAAAGTCCTGGCTACCCAATGGTACCGATTCAATGAGGCTTGAAAAAATTCACTTGAAATGTCAATGATCCGCTGACATAGGCTGGCATTCGAAATGTTGATTTTGAACCGAGTTATTGAACTTTGAAATTTTCGGTCTAATTGCCCGAGAACCTTCTGCCATAAGCACGAAATTTTAAAGCAGCTACCAAAATCGTCAAACCTCTTCTATTACAAGCACGAAAAAGTGGATAATAGCGTTCTTGAGGTAGGTAATCTATTCACCACCGTTTCTTACACATCTAAACTTTCCAACGTCTTTTTCTAATCAAACATTCAAGAACGTCTCAAAATATTGACATTAAAGATTTTGCACTCAACTTCTACGAAAATTTAAAACACAACAAGAAAATAATTGAAGACGATTTTCAAACGTCGCAATTGAAATCGAAAATCACAGACACAAATTGCGTTGTAAAAAACAATTTATTTATTAACACGACATCAAGAATAAAATGAATAAATTGAAAAAGTTCACAAATGAAGAACACGAAAAAATAAAAATGAAATGATTTCATTCATTATTATATAATCGAAATAAAGATGTACGTAATTCACTTTAACAATCAAAAAAGCAGATAAACCGAGATGTGCTAAACTTGTCATAGGTGCAGTGCAGAAGAAAACAGCCGTAAGAGAAAGTAAGATGACGACCACAAGGACTGTTGGCTTTCCTCTACGGGCAAACAATACCTCCGAATGTAGGCAATGAAACGATAAAAATTTGCCTACTATCTCGGAGGAATGCAAGAACAAAAGGATAGTTTCAAAAAAATGATGAACAAACGTCTGAAAAACGCTCATAAATTTTAAATTTCAATCGAATTTAACGGTTGTTTTCAATTCATATCAATTAGCATAATCCGTCACAACAACGTTCTTTGATCTCCTCCCATCATCCACCACATTCATAGTAACGCTTTTTGAAGAAATTTAGCAAATCAATTAAGTTGCTTGATGAAACAAATTGATTGAAATTAAATTAAGCACGCACGGCATCCTGACCAAATAAAGATTAAAATCAAATAAATAAATATCTAATTGTAACTCCAGCAGGGGTGCAATCAAGGCGACGGCGGTGTTCTATAAGCTTCAGTATCACGTTCGGCAAAATCAACAAGCCGAAAACTCAGGTTTCGCAGCCGAACCAAATACAACATTTACGAAACATCACCTAGATGTACCCGGATGTACATATGTTGCATTAAGTAATCATGCATTATTTTGATTCAAACTAACATTTAAACTAACTTTATCACCCGTCTCAAAAATCCCTATTCGAATAATCTCAAATTCCTCTTCGCCAACTTCAAAACGTCAACTAATCTTTAGGCTTAGCTCCCATATAGGCATATCTAATATCTCTTGAATACGCACATAATATCTCTAAAGAGACGATATATTCACGGAGCACATCCAATAGTAGAATATAAATTTGTTTACAACACCCAATTTGTATTCGAACGTAATGCACTGTCACTATTCAACTTTCACCAGCATGTAACCAACCATATGAGCATGCATCAGTCCTTCGAGCAAGCACATGAACACATACACACACTCACTCAAACAATCAATTCAAATTCAAATCCCCAATGAAAACATCCACAATCACCCACTCAAAACAGTTTCAACTCCATTTGCTAACATTATTCACAAGTTTTAATCGAACAAATTTTTCCACACTTCTCACAGGAAATAAATTGCCGAAGTGTCATAACTAATGCATTTGGTTCTACTTTCTTTTACGCGTATAAATTTTCACTAATCAGTGAAACTTTCTCATCGAAACAATTTGCAATACACAAAAAATTTCTCCTCAACAATCACTAAAAACTTGCTACGGTCAACTGAACAGATGATAAGATACAAAACGTAACGGAAACTACACACAAATGCTATACAAATTCGGAGGGAAGAGGAAAACAAAATTTTAAAAATTACTCAGACTGAGCACTGAATAACAACTGGTGTGCACCTACGTACTCTCAATGAACAACTCGGCCAGTTCAATTGGAAAATCATCATTAGAGTTATGTCGAAACAAGAATGTTCGCTGACTTCTCAAAAGTTCTACGAAACGACTGGAAAGCCGCAAATAAAATGCACTATGCAAGCTGCCTGCCCATCGAGGAACAAAATGAGATTTAATCGTTCTGAAAGTCACTTTGCGTGGTGATAAGAATTTTTTGGATGTTGCAAAAGTGATATGGGTAAAGCCACAGATCCACAGATCTATTCCTTCACGGCGCGTCGTCATTCTCGTTGATATTTCCTCTGCACAAGCACCTATACTCGAATTCACACGGATCTACTAATAAATATTTGCGCACGAAAACTCAACAAAATGATAATCAAACTCGCAAAAAAACGATAATCCGTTCATAAGAAATCAGTAAAATAATACAAAAATGCTCCACATTCTTAAAACGATAACAAACTTCCCGAGTACAACAATGCACGAGTCTCTTTTCATACACCTCAAACAGTGCAGTGGATGATTAAACAAACATTTGGTTATTATTAAAATCAGAAATCCCCCCATGTGTTCACCGCACGATTGTTGCACTCAGTGATGATGAGTAAACGACCAATGCAAATAATAATAAGCAAGTACACAATCGTTGTTCCACGACTATCCGCCACGAACACCAAATATCGAGTATCATTCACCCATTTAGAGGCGCATATAAACCCCGAAAGTCTGGGATATCTTAGCAACGAATCGTCACAAAAACCATGTGAATCTAGTTCGCTGATTTCTAAACGTAAATTTAAAAAAGCTCACTAGCAACAAAGTGAGACGAACATAAAACCAAATCATGGGAATACTGCTTACGTGTTTTCAGAAGTTCAGCAGCAATCAAGACTCAGATACCCGCTGCAGTTTGTGGGCAGTAAAAAGGAAAACATCGGTGATCAATGATAAAATTAGGGGATGATGAATGATTCATACCCGCAGTGATTTATGAAAAAAAATGTGGGATGAAAATGAGATAAAAATTTGCCCATCAGGAAACAAAATCTCCTGATGACAAACTAAAAATGAACAACGTTGCCATTTAGAAGCAATCTCTCTATTGCTGATTCCACGTGAATTTCAAAATCAAGCCGGTTGGACAAAACAAAAACAAAGCATGCAAATATGACATCATTACATATGAGATGGCAATAAAATAGAGACGCTTCCAACGAAATGTGGCTAAATCAATTCAAATAAACGCTTACAACTCTATGATATGAATAAAAATCATAACAAGGTAATCACCATCATCCTCGTTATCAACTAGAGCAATGATAAAATTAATAATAATAATAAGAATATCACCGTTTCTTTCACGCATTTTATCTCCGGCGGTCTATTTCCAACGCTATCTATTACTGTCCATAATCCTCACCGACTCTTAATAGGTGGCACCCTCGGGTGGTTGCGGTAATTTCATATTCTCTTTTGCAGTCATTAAATTCTTCCGTATATCCTCAAGTATCGTCTTTATATAGAACGAACTATTCCACTGACGTAACACGGGTACATAACGCCTATCCACCTTGAAAGAGTAACACTTGATAAATGCATTCCATTCAATTGAGCATACATGTTTCTGAACCATACCAGGCTTTTGAGTTTACAACTTAGAACGATACAGCACAGACAGTTCATTTACCATTCTCGGTGAAAGGATGGATCTATCTCACAGATGTGAATATTTTCGAAGGTAAATTTAATGGGCAAATTAAACTTGCTAATGTTCTCTCTATAACACTTCGCTTTAAGGTTTGCTGAATTTTGACAATTTCTGTTCAAATAAATTAAACCTTTTTCGAGAATAAAATTTCTCAGGATTGAGGAGAAATATGATGAAACTTCAGAGTTCTTCTTTACACGATCTTTTAAAATTTTATACTTATGTTTACTTTCGAACTAGTTGAAGAAAACTGAAACGAACCATCCCGTTAGATTGATTCACTCCATTCAAATTGATTTTCGTTGTAAATCTGACGATTGGTGCCTCTTTCGGATAATTCGTACCACATTCCAAACGTAAATTGTAAATACGTGATTCGAAAGGAGTCTGAAAGCAGCAGTGCATAACAGAATACCACCTTTCAATTAGTCACATGACAATTATAACAATATCACTTTTGAGAGAGCTAGTAAAACGAGCAATATCACACTCATATTAGATATGTAAAATTTCAAGCTGATCTCAACATGGACGAACTGATTCATCAAGTTAAGAGCCAACCCTCGGTGGTCCAATAATCATGCCAGTCCATCGAGTGAGTGTCATATCGTCGTCATCTTCTAATCCCCACGAAATATTACCATCACCCTTACCCTTCTGACCATCCTCCAATTCTTCTAATAAACGGAAGTTCCTCGGAACTTCTACTGAAATACAACAACCACTGTGTTTCATTTCAAGAATGCAATCGTGATCCTTTAAAAACTTGTCCAATCGTACAATGGGGATAATTTGAACAAAAGCGACATAGCGCTAATCAAGACAAAAATAAGAGAACTCAACTGTGATGAAGCAATCAAAAAAAGGAAATAACTCGACTTCAGTACGAACTATTAGCTTTTAGAATATGGTAAAGAGAGAACGAGAAAATAGAATAAGTCTTACCCATTTCAAAAACTGCTCGTTAAAGCCTGTCGTCTACCCACAGCACAAATCAAACAGCCTGAAACTGCTTTGAAGAAATTCAAGTCGGAAATGTGCAAAATTCGTCAACCACCTAACAATCTGAAACACACAAAAAAACAACTAAAATTCAGAAACAAAAAACATTTCCAAGTTAAATCAACACGACACAATATCGGAATAAATCGCCAAAACTGACGCTAAGTGAACAGTTAAATAGACTTCTTTGAAAGCGCAACCAATCAGGATTGATAAAATTTATAGATAATGACATTTTATATGTTCAGAATTAAGGTGAATAGCGAAAACTCGAAAAAAAAACTGTCGATGTAACTGCTGTTCATATTAATGCATCATGCACGACAACAGTTTGAAAATGCCTAACTATTAAGTTACTTATTCCCTAATATCGACGAATGTGTTGCTGAAAATTCCTTAGAGGCCAATTTCTCAAGAAGATCAGCAAATGACAGAGTCGTGTCCTTCCGATGAATCCACATCCCTTAACAACATTAAATTGCTCCAATAGTTTATCATATAAGTAACGAATAACTCGAATGACTCAGCTCTGATCATGTGCCAAACCCTCATTTTATTCTATAATCAATTACATAGTTTCTAGAGAATGCATCAAAAAGAAATACTCGAAAATATTTCTCTGTGCCCGTGAAGTCAGCAAGAAAGAAAGGCAAAAACGTTCCCCGGATCTATAATGCAATATTGTGCGTTGCTGTCGTGTGTGAGAGATATTAGTGTTCAACAGCTTCACATACTAATGTTCGCAATCGAAACATCGTCGCAAGTATCCAACCATTTTTAAATTTATATCCATGAAATCAACGCAAATGACTAACATTTTCATTATCACATCAGGATTTTTCTTTATTCAAACAAGCAGTGTGATCGGTATGCTACTGAAAAAGAGCAGCTCAGCCATTTCACTAACTCAGAAAAAAACAACTCTGGTCACTACTATAACACCACTGAGTTGAATTAATCCGCTCCAGTCGCTATCGCTGACCACTACTTCTGAATGTTCCTTAGAAATTTGCAGTTGCACTGCTTATTCGTCCCGGAAAAAAACTTTATTACGCCATCAAACGGTCGAAAATTTTTACTTACAATTGACCATTCAGCAACAGATAACAGTTCCAACAATATGCACCAGTCAAAAATGAAAGCAGTGCTCAACAATAAGCAAATCACCAAGTGAAGACAGTAAGAATCTAGCGATAAGATGAAAACCAATCGACTGGGCATCTCGTCCAAAAGTCTGTGATAGTGGTAACCACGCTCGAGTGCTCCATTACCCGTTCGATGGTCTGGCAGGCTATCATTACTCCTCCCACCACAATAATTTATCATTTCTATGCATAACGTTAGAACTAATTTCCCGACCCCTCCTTTATCTCCTAACACCCCAAAATTACCCAAAATGGGTAATTTCCCTTGTCCCCTATAAGAATCCCTGGTCTAGATCGTCTGGCACTTAAATTATCGTTTGGCTCAATCCACTTATAGTTGAAGTTCAGCAATCGGTGATTGGTTTCTTCCCCATCAATCCAGACGTGTCGCATGCTCCCTCTGTGTGAGGAGATTTCCCAGTTGCGAATCTGATGCACATAAATCTGTTAATCCGATGAATTTTCACTGCATTTCCAGTCATGCACAGCGCTACGACTAGTTTTAAGTGCACTCTTCCACATTCAGTTGGGTGATGCATCATCACGTCGAGCAGATCTTTCATGAGTATAAATCTCCGCATTGTCGATACACTCAACTTTTAACGGTCAAACTGCCTTTGATGGATTCATCATTTCACTCGTCGAATATGTTGAAAGCGATCATCTTAAGGTCCAGATATATGACAGTCCACATTATCAATTCGATATGTTTGAGTTTATTTCGATATTCTAACAACTGATTCATCGTAGAGCTCAAAACTTATTCATTCATGTAAGCATCAACTCAGCAAGTGCATTGTTTATTAATACATAACCACAGTTAATCACTTGAACATTTTCTTACGATTAGCTTATTCAAACAATCAACTTACGCATTTCTGCATAGTTGATCGTCGTACCGATCACCTTTTCAACTTTAGAAAATAATCAGTGAAAGGGGAAGAAAATTGCAAAATCACTGATGCTATATTCGGGTTTCAACGGTATAAGGCTGTCGTCCAGGTCTCACGCTAACAACACGTCGTTCTACTTTGTGTCGTGTGCAGAACGGCAACTGTTTCCGAAAAACGGGTAGTGCGAGCAGAGTTGACAATGAAAGAACTATTGGTTGGAGTAAAATTGCGAATCGCTGAAAATGTTTATTCATTTGATCACGATTCACCAAGCACTTTTAAATTTTATTCATTTGCGTATGAAACATTGACGCTTTCATTGCTGGTACTGTAGAACTCCGTCCCTTTTTTGCGTGTTTAAAAAAGGTGATGTTTCCGAATGTTTTGTTCGAATTTGATTCCCACTTTGACAATTTTATCAGTTCAAATTTGCTTCTCCTCGATTTGATATTTGCTCATATGAATATGAGTTGTTCTCCGAGCTAGAGCATGAAAAGATTGTTTCGAGCTGAAAATGATTATGGCAAACGTATGAGATTGCTGTTCTAAATTGACCGAATATAGTAACCTGCATTGTCATGGCGATATTGAGTATTGTTGTCGTTGCTACACTGTACCGGAAAGTAAGTTTGAAAATGACCGCAATATTCCACACTACAATATTCATCAAATAAAGCACGCCGCCATATCAGAAAGAAAAACTTTTCAGGTGTATCACAATTGAAGAGAGAGAGAGAAGGAGAACAGTTTTGTGTTGAAACAGAATGATCGATCATCAGCGAATGTCAGTGAAGAATGATTCAGACGCTGCTTCGAAATTCACTGTCCAGTTCGATATTCTACGGTTTGCATGAGGAATTGCGCATGCCTTAGACGAAAAGGTTACAGGTGATGTAATCAATACCGTGACCTGTCAGTCTGCCTAAAGACATCTTGCCCAATGACAGTTTGTCTAAAGACACATTGCCTAACAGACAGTTTGTCTAACGGACAATTGGTCTAAGGAACAGTTTGCCTATTAGGCGAAACATCTATTGAAGAAGCGTAAATTAGGCAAACTGTCCGTTAGGTAAAATATCTTCAGGCAGATTGACCGGGTACCAGTCAATACATCTCATTCTTCCAAATAAGGTAAAATTTACCAAGACCAGGGAAAAAACAGATGTTCGGTGGTGCTATGTAAATCAACACGTGCAACAACTCCTCGATTTTGCGTTTCTTCACGGCTGTCTCAGTATGCGTTTTCTGCCGATAAAAGCTCACTAAAGTATTGACCACCTGAAAATCGATGTGAATCATTTCATGTTCTCAGAGCTGAAAGATGATGTTTTCTCATCGTTCTTATTCAATATCTTGAATGCCAATTATCGGGCAATATCAGTACGGAACTTTCAAACGAAGGTTCATGAATGATTGTCGATTCAATAAAGCATTGCAACTGCGAGCGAACCAGAATTGAAATGACTGTAGTTATTGCGTATGTTATGAAAAACATCGGAAGTGGAGCAATCCATGACCGTATACTATTATCAGTTAGCATCATTATGTGATATATGCCGTACAACACAGCTAATGTGTGGAAAATCACGAAGTACCATATCCAACTCCTGGAACAAGAATCAAGGGATTAGATAATCGTTTTGCAAAGCATGCGATTTTCGTTAACCATCATGGAAAAAAAATGAATGAGAGCAAGTAGACGAATGGTCGAGCAATATGGCACAATTGACAGCCCAAATGTTTTCATTTCAAATTGCTAGCTCGAAGCTCATCAGATGCAATTTATTGAAGCTCCAGTGCAGTGATTCTCACTGGAGTAAATTTCCTTTGGTAATTTGGAGGTATCAGAAGGTAACTGAGGAGGTCGTAAACCAATATTTCATGCAGTTGTTATGTTATGATGAAACACCATTATGATGGTGTGCTTTTTCACTTAGGTATGGCAACATTTGGTGAACACTCGGCTTTCTCCTATTTTCTGAATCACTTCGGCTTGTCTAGATCCGAACAAAAGCCAGTGATGTTGAACAGTACCATTGAACAGTATCACTCGCTCAACGGCTCTGAACTGATCGACCACAATCGATCTGATCACGATTACATTCTCAACAACATACAGCCGCCTGTCATGAATATCTCTTCAAATCAAGTTCAGAATGGAAATCACCTCCAACTGAAATAATTGGCGTGTGATAGTGGATATTTGTATGCAACATAGATTGACAGAAGCAATACGTCCGACGGCACACGAAAACATATCGTACTTACGGCACCGAAGAACGTAGTTAAGTGGTCTGTGAAATGCCTGAAAAATAAGTGCAATCTTTCTGTATTACTGCCGACTATTTCTTCACTGCACATAATCTTCTAAAGCCAATTCATCTGCGTTTTCTTCTGCCTTTAAATAGCCTCAACAGAAACATTGTTTCAAATAGTTTGCGGAAATGACTGCAAATGAGTTGCCCTCAATACATTCGAACGGGATTCACTATTTTGATTGTTTGGCCTAGTACCGTCTTGAAAACACAAAAGTTATGAAGGTCACACGCAATATTCCTTCCATTCTCTCAGCACGAGAACACCGAGAGTATGAATTTTTTTGCAGTTTTGAGATAATTGCTAAAGTTTGTAAGATACAAGTAATTTTCAATTACTAACCAGTTGAAACCATAATATCGAAGGTAATATTCAACCT